CTTGTTTGAACTGGACCATGTCTTTCTTGTGTTGGGGGCTCCAGAACAGGACGCAGCACTCCAGGTGGGGCCTTACGAGAGCGGAGTAGAGGGGGAGAATCACCTCCCTCGACCTGCTGGCCACGCTTCTCTTGATGGAGCCCAGGGTACGGTTGGCCTTCTGGGCTGCAAGCGCACACTACCAAGCTCAAATGCAATGCTCTTTCAAATGTAAACCTTTCCATTTGAAGTAACAATAAAAGAATTACATCCTTAGAAGCTGGCCTTTACTTTTCCTTCTTCCCACACCAGCTACAGTGGCTTCTCGCCTTCTTCCGAAAACCAGCAGGCAAGAGAACCACTGGCTGCGTGGTTAAAGCCAAAACTCATATTCTGAAGACCTCACCAGTTACTACACTGCCTAACACAACAGGCGAGATGAGAAAGCAGAAGAGAAAAAAAAAATAAATTATTGTATACAGATTAGATTTTATTATTTTTTTTTTTAAAGAAAGAGGATTCCTAACTAGAGGGCAACGAGGATTTCCACGCAAGTACGACTAGGTTGAGAAAGCCAGGACAGTACAAACCTTTGTGATGGATTTCACCTGCAATTTCACTCGCACAGCAGAAAGCGTGAAAGTACATCCATGTATTAAAATGTCCAGGCACTTCCTTGAAATTCAGTTAACACTGCGGTGGTTTCACTTGGCTGGCAGCCAAACACAGCTGCTTGCTCACTCTCCCCTACCATCCCAAGGGAACAGGGGAGAGAATTGGAGGGGTAAGGGTAAGGAGACTCATAGGTTGACATAAGAACAATCTATTAATTTAAATAAAATAAAACTTAAAAATAATAATAGTAATAATAAAATATACAAGAGTGATACACACTGCAATTACTCACCCCCTGCTGACCAAGCCCAGCCTGTTCTTGGGTAACAATCCCAGAGGAGTGACAATCCTGAAACCAAAACTGCAATCCTAGAATAGCAAGAGCCCAAGTGAGAGCCAGAGACAGCAAGCCCCCCACGAGAGAAGGACTCATGAATATACTGAACATGACATGATATGATACGGAAGATCCCACTGGCATATCCAAATGCTGATCTAGTTTACTAATTTTAATATTCCTCGCTCGCCCCTAGACTTTGCACTTGTAGACTAGCAAAACACAGTCCTTCAACTTCCAGCAACAACTGAAAACTTTGGTGTGTTATCAATGTTTTTATCACAAAAAATCCCAGGCTGAACCCAAAACACAGCACTGTTCTAGCTACTAAAAAAGAAACCCAGCTCTGTCCCAGCTAAAAACCAGGACAAACACATTCCCTGAATTATAACTGCACTGCTTTTTCCATATCCAGAACATTTCCATACCAGGCACAAACCCTTTGCACAGCAATACTTTGCACATTGCAATCTCTTAGTAGTTTTTAAAAGCTCTGACAATCAAGTACTGGTCAGGGAAGAACAGTCTGCCTCAGCCCCAAAAATACCTGAAAAAACTTGAGCCCCTCATGCTGCAGAACTGATCAACTAGCCTAAGGGTGAAATTTCACAAGGAAAGCTGAGCTGACCTGTCCTGAGCCAAGAACTTTCTGTCACCCAAAGAGGTAGGTGCTCCCACCTCCCTGCTCTTACTTTGTGTTCCCCTTACTTCCGCCTTAGTACCACAAAGACAACTCCTCTCACACAACAAGGCCTTGAAAAACAGTTTTGTCCCAAATCCTATTACAGTTACAGTCGTGTAATTGGGTAACCTACTGCCTGAAGAAGCACAGCCAGCCAGCTGGTTTGGGGCTCAGTTCAGATGCACACCTGGTCTGAAGGCATGCCTGGTGTGTGTAAAAGGGAAAAGACTCTCTAAGAAAAATGCTTATAGGTAAAATGATATTGATTAATAGAAGTATTATGGTTAAGATGAAAAACTAGAAACAGGTGCTATGAAATAACAGAATTATAATAATTCTTACAAACCATGCAACCATGCTGCTTCTCACTTTGTCCCTTGTATAGCCCTCTCCATGGCTGGTTTAAACCCAATCCAGCTGAATCAACAAGAATAACAGAATTTAGAGACACAGCAATTACAGAGAATAAGTGATTAACTTGGAGTAAGCGAATTGTGAGAGATTACATATTTTAAAATAGACAGAAGTTAAATGTCATGATGTCAGTTTTTATTAGAAGTGCAGAGGTGAGCAGACAGGACGATTATTCAAGAAGATAAGTGAATACAGTGACCAGAATGGGACCAGCGGCTGCAACTTCTGAAGAGGCATTGAGAAGATGAGAAGAATCAGCTGTGTTTGAAGAATCACTGTGGACTTTTATAGAATTTTAAATTAATGAGAAATCTGGAACTGAGGGTTTGTGGGAAAACACCGAGAACTTTGAGAAGAAAACCTACTGTATAATGTTAAGTTTAGCATATATAGAGAGCTTGATTTTTGCAATGCCTTTGCCACTCACTGAGGTGATGGTCCAACTCTGTGCTGTAAATAAAGCAAACCCAGAGTTACCCACCGAGTTAAACTCCTTTTACAGCATGCACGTATCTTCTGCTCAAAACCACACTGAGACAGCTTTCTTGTAAGACCAAATACTTAAAATAAGCCAGAAAACATTAGCCATTCTGCATAGTATTTATTTATAAACAAAAACATTGCATTCGATCACATACAAGTTTTGATCCTGCAAACTCAAGATTTATATATTGTTTTTTATTTTTTACAAAAAATACATTTTAACAAATAAAAAGCATTTCCATTAGTCCACTGTTCTCCAAAGTGTAAATGTACAGTGTAAATTTTCAAATTTTAATATAGACATATGCTATATGTTGACAGTTCTCTATAAGAAATTCAACTACAGAGTCTGATGAACCATAATAAATAATGATTAAGAAATGGAAAACTACACACCAATAAATGGAAAATATAAACTTTTTAAAAGTCATACAAACAGTTGTATTACAGCCACCTCTTCAAAAATCAAACATTCAATTTATCCCTTATAAAGTACAACAGTATTGCCTTACCCTTATTGGCATATTAGAATAGATAGCATCTTAAAATGGAAATACTGTCCATTGAAAGAAACTGACTGAACTACAACTAAAAGGAACATAATCCAATTAAATTAGGACAGTAGCAGTGCAAAAGCCAAAAACATTGGCTTTATAAAAAAAGACACTTCCTAGGAATGAGCATATTGAGTGCTATTTCATGATTTAAAAAAAAAAACAACCCAACCAACCAACCAAACCCAACCACATTTAAAAGCAAGAATCATTTTTCTTGATCACTGTTTGGATGACAAATACCACCACAGAGTAAAAGGTGGATTTGCTGTCTTTGCCACCCTTCTTATTCCTCATGACTTCAAAGAAAACCATGCAATTGGCTGAGAATACTGTCAGCATTTGTAACAGTGATTCCCCTTGGTACCATGTCTTCCAGGAAGTTTTTGCATGAGCATTAAGAGCACAGAAGTAGGACTTAAGAGTCACTGTGAAATATTTACGGGGGAAGGGGAGCTGAGGGAGGGAAGAGGGACTCCCCTATCTTGCCTAAAATAAAAGATGTCTAAACTTTATAGCATAAACAAGTTATATTTGGACATTTTCAGCTTTAGCTCACTCTGTAGTTATTAACACCACAGATAAGGAAACATTGCCTCCTTTTCAAAGTACTTCAATTCAAGCAATCAGTCAAGGACTTAGTAGTCTGACACATTTGTACTCAGCCTGGTACATTCTGATAGGAAGGGAAGTTTCAGAGACGAATCTCAGCACCCTCACATCTCAGCCTGAAAGACTCCACGGCAGACTGTATGTTTAACACTGCAACAATTTGTTTTTTGAGATAATATATCTAAGCATTTGTATACATCACAGAACCTCTATGTCAATCCTGTTCAGCACTATGCCTCCCTGAAAAAAGACCTTCAGGTCTGAAGAGGTGGCGTTCGATGTAGAGGAGAGGTGGTCCAGGACTCCTACCCTAGCTTTGGATATGCCACCCCAGCTTGTTCTCTCCAGTGGTCCACCAGGATGCTTCCCATTCCACCAGTGGCCTTTGACTTGGAAAAAAGCAGCCAAGGACTGTGTATGAAATCTGGCCATTGAAGCCATGTACTGGTACATACCTGGACTTATGAACCAGCACTGCTATGTTCAAATGGGAACTACAGGGTAGAACTGAAGATTCCTCTGACTGCGCTCAAATACAGACAGGTTCTTGGATGTAGGAAACAACAATCAAGTAGCAAGGGCAGGACACAAACAGACATGTAGTTTCCATCACTGAAAAGGCTGAAATATCCTAGCCATATCCCATGGAGCTGTTTATGCTGCAAAACTATGTACAGATAATGTTCTGTAGTGACAACAAAAAAATCCAACAGGGAGTCAAACACCACCAGTTTTCAGGATAAAATGCTTAAACAATTTTTCTTCTTTTAGTAGTAAAACACAGTATTACCCATATGGCCAAAATTTTCATCTACGTTACGTTTCTATCCCATTAATGCAACGTACAACATTGCTGACAGCAATGAACCAATACTGTAGCATACAACATTACTAAGGTTTGTTCTGAGAAGGAAATCAAGAAAGGTTCTTTTTTGCATTTTTTATATATTCCAATACTTAGATTTTAAAAGATGAAATAATTGCAAATATTAGTTCTTATATAAGATCAAAAGTCAACAGAAAAGCTTTTGTAGAAAAGTATTAAGATTCCTAAAAATATTTGCAAATTTAATTACAAATACATTTTCAAAGCAAAATCCTTAATTAAGTACATCAGGGTTGGTCAATATTGACAGTGTTCCTTTAAGAGGAAGTGAAGATAACACCCACTGCATCCGTGGGAACATCTAAATATATAGAGTATATACACTTACTGATCAAACTATGTCAGATATATAAAGTGAAGAAGCAGTATATACAATTTTGAACCTACACAAAGGTTATAATGGAAGATCAAGTAAAAGTCTGCTAAAATCTTAAGGTATTAGGTACTACTGATTTCATGCATTTGTTCTACAACTTGTCCTAAAATTTCATCTACTACATCAATATCATAATTTACTTGCTGCAAGTCTAGATCAGGCATGATTGTAGCTAGAAGTTGTCCAACATTCACTCGAAGAGAGCGTAGTTTCAGGCTGTGAAGAAATAGGTAGATATGATTAGATGTAGCTGAAGTTTTATTCAAATACACAGTACTTTAACAAAGCTGGACTAACACTCTACACTGGAAAGGCTCTGTACGTGACTTCAATAAACCAAAAAAAAAAAGCAGCGCAGTTAAAGCTGCATCAAGATAATTTCAAAATTTACCAATTTTTTCAAAGCTGAGCCTCTTGACTTTTAATTTTGAAGGTGTATATTCCCTTAGTTTCAAACAAATGCTAAGGGCTAAACTGAACTCTACCCTTCCCAAAACAGATCAGAAATATTTCTGAATGCTTTTATTTAAGTTATCAAGTAAGCAATGGCAGAATCCTTTATCCCATAATGCCATTTTATTTCTCAAAACAATACTAAACTCCAGTATTTTTATACATTTAGAAGCACAAACTACGACCACCTATATGGGTATAAAATAAGAGAAAAGAAAAAGAGAGAAGTGAAGGCAAAAAAGAGTAGTTTGCCCAAAGGCTTTAAAATATAAAGAAGAAATAAGGCAAAAGTTATAGTACAGGGAAAACGCTATGTCTCCTCTTCTTGCTTTTTTTCCTGGATCCCCCTGCTCTGTCTTCCTGATCAAATTGCTTCCATATCACCCATCCCTTCTCTTGAGCACTTCCTTCTGCCATCAGTTCCTTTATCATCTCCAGCAACCAGTCTCCACTGTGGCCACATATCCCAACAGGACTTGTGACAGAAGTTACTTACAAGTCTCCTGCGTATATTTGCCAATTCTTTTAAGGAGCACAAGTCAGATGCTATAAGAAGAAAATGAAATGCTGGAAGATAAAGGGGAGATTGAACCACAGAAAGAATTAGATTGAAAGGGGGCTATGGAAATCATCCAGTCCCTTCTCTTCTCCCGTCTCTCCCTGAGACACACATTCAAAGCAGGGCTAACTCAAATCAGGTTCCTTAGGACCTTCTTGCATTTTGAAAATCTCCAAAGATGGAGATTCCACAATCTCCCTGGGTCCCTGTTTCAGGGTGTGACTACCCTCGCTGTGAACAATTTTTTTTCTCTAATACTTAAACAGAATTTCCCTTGTTGCAGCTTGTGTCTATTGCCTCTCATCCTATCACTGTGCCCATGAGAAGAGGCTGGCTTCATCTTTTCTACACCATCTCCTTAGGCAGCAGAGGAGAGCAATAGGATTTCAAGGTAAACGACTCTTCACAAGGCTTTTTCCCTCAGCTTCTCCTTCTATATCAGATGCTCCATGCCCATCTCGGTGGCCCTTCAGTAGACTTGCTCCAATATGCAAATGTCATTCATATATACCACGGAGCCCAAAACTGGACACAGTACTCCATCTTTGGTCTCACAATGCCCAGTAGTAGGTAAGAATCACTTCCCTCAAACTGCTGGTCAAACTCTTGCCTATATAACCCAGTAGGCACTGGGGTCTCCCACCACAAGAGTGCACTGCTGACTCACTCATGCAATTTTTAGTCCACCAGAAACAGAGCCCATCTTTTTCCAAGCTGCTTTCCTACGAGTAGTCTCCAGCTTATTCAACTGCATGGGGTATTTCCAACACAGGTGCAGAACTTGGCAGTTGGCTTTGTTGAATTTCCAGGATGTTTCTTTCAGCCCATTTTTCCAATTTTTCAAGGTCCCTCAACAGCAGCCCTACCCTCCAGAGTATCAATGGTTCCCTTGAATTTGATGTCATCGTTAATTTACCAAGTTAATTTTGCTCTGTCATCTAGGCCATTAACAAAGGCATTAACCATTACTGGCCTCAATACTGATTGAAGAGTTCATCAGTCTGGCCAATTTTATGACCTATCTCCTGGTCTACCTATCCAAATCACACCTCACAAACTTCGCTATCACGATATTATGGCAGCCCATATTGAAAGCTTTGCTACAGCAAAGGTCCACAGAGCTGGTCATCTCACTATAAAAGGCAACGAGGTTGCAAAGGCATGATTTGCCCTCAGTAAATCCATGCTAGTTGTTCCTAATCACCTTGATTATCATGGGGATGCAGGTGGCTTCCAGGTACATTTGCTCCATGGTCTTTCCAGCAACTGAGGCTACATTGACCAGCCTGTCCTAAATATGGGCATGACAACTGCCTTTTTCCAGGCATCAGGAACATTGACTGCCACAACCTTTTGGAGATATCATTGCAAGGCCAACACTCTATCAACTGGCCAGCTCCCTCTGATGAATCTCAGCTGGTCCCAAGGACGTGTGTATGTCCAATTTGCTTAAACAGTCCCTTAATTCAGTCACCTTTTATTACAGGTTATGCTTAATTCCTTAAGATTACCACTTGACTCAGGGACCTGGGCAGCCAGAAGGCAGACCTTACCAGTAACTACCAAGGTAAAGAAGACACTGGGTATCTCAGTTCATGTTCTTTGCTACTAAGCACCTTCCCCACTGAGCAGTCGGCCCACATTTTTCTAAGATCTCCTGTTGCTGCTACTGTGCTTACAGAAGCCCTCCTGGTTGCCCTTCACAGGCCTTGCCAGTTTTAACTCCAGCTGAGCTCTGGCTTTCAGTTCCATGCTACATGCCCAGGCAGTGTGCCTATATTCCTGCTAGACTGCACATCCCTGTTTCCATCTGCTATGAGTACTTCTGTTGTGGGTTTGATATTTCTATTAATCAAGAGCTGCAAGCTCTCTTTTTTTAAGTTTAAACCTTGTTTAGTTCCAAGACACACTCTGGACAAAACCTAGATCCATATGTTTGGTCTGCAGCAAGAAGTTCTTATAGGAAAGGTACGTTTCAAAGCCAAACCCAAACTTTTTTCAGTAGAGTACCACTGATCCAAGAAAGAAAAAATAGAATATAGGAGTGAAGTTCATCTACACAGCATAAGCTGATGATCACTGTCCTGCCTCCTTTCTCTCTTCTTGTTCTGCAAATCGTGTCTACAAGTTATATAGCATTTTTGATATTTTAAGAAGTGTCAGTATGGCATTCTAATTACTGGCCAACACTGCTCACATAAATACCCAAGTCAAAAAAACAAATAAAGCACTTGACAAAAAAACCTGAGTTAGGAGTCACAAGAGGCAGTAGAAAAGAATTCCAAGCACCACATTTTATTATATCATTATAAGACATGACCTTCATCAAGATGTTTTAGCCAGCTATAATCTTGCTTGAAACAGTCTAGAAAGATCAAAATTTATACCTTTCTCCATCAGAAAAATTTACAGTCTCTTCTACATTACTGGTGTTAGAATCATTTGCACGTGCTACTGCTTGTGGAATTGAAGCTTTTAACTGTGCAATTTCTGCTTTGAGTTCTTCACACTGACAGGCAATTTGATTTTTTTCCACTTCTAGTAGTTCAGTCTGCAAAGTAAATAAAAATAATTTTATATATCAAATAAAATTGTGGTGGATTAAAATAAAAACAACTTATACAAATTTAAACCATTTAGCTTTGTTGACTGCTTTTAATTAACTTTTCAGTGAGATTCTAAGATATGACAAACTGCTTTAAAAAAGCCAGCTGTCAACTGAAACATGGTATGTGTGCTCCCTCTAAACCTGCTCAGTTTCTCTTGTTTTGCAGTCAGAGCCAGAGCCTTGTAGTCTCTCTCAAGTTTGCTTATTTCTATCTATGGAAGCAAAAAACTAGAAGCTCTTAGGCTAATTTAGTATTTCTTCCCCTTTTAGGTGGCTTGATTAGTTAGTGGACTGAACTATGCAACACACTGCGCACTAGAACTGCTATGAAACACCCACTAAAAAATAAAAATAATTTAATTGTTAATTTGAAGGATATAACTGTTTCAACAAACATACCTCACTTTTATATCTGTCTCTCTCAATGCTGCACTTGTCAAGTTGCCTGAAAACATCGTCCAGTTGCACAGCCATTTCATCTACCTCGCTCTTACTTTCACCCTCGGCACACTTGCTGCATTCAGTTTTTAAGTTCTGCAGGGTACTGCATTGTTCCTTTAGTTTTGCTATTTCTTCTAAGGCCTGTTCATAGAGAATGGTCACTTCTGACAAACTTCTTTCATGAACATTTTCTTCTTCAAATGAAGAAATTGTCTCAGTTGACTGATGGCACATTTCTTTTTTTACATACTTATTATTCATTTCTAAAATCCTCTCTTCCAGTGTTTCTACTTGTTTGGTTAATACTTCACATTTGTTTTGGTACATTTCTTTTTCTTTGTTTAGTAACTGCAGCTGATTTTTCAGTTCATTTCCAAGATCTACAGATGTTTCAGAAACATCATTAACATTGTGCTGTTTAGTTTCCACCTCTGCCCTCGGAACTTGAATATCGGTGTCATCCTCCACCTCTTCCTTTTTAACAACTAGGCTTGGGAGCTCTGTCTGTGTCGCTGAGGTCAACTGTTCACTTTTTGATTCCGAAGCAGCTGCACTGCAAGGTTCTCCACCATCACAGTTTTCTTTCTGCTTCTCCTCATGATCCAAATTAATACATTCAGTTTTTACTACAGAAACGTCAGAATCTGCTGAAGGCTTTGGAGTACTGCTCTCCTCTAAAATAATGACATCTTCATCATCATCATCATGGTTGTTGAATGCTTTGTCATTTAATCGAGGTGTCTTTAAAGACACAGATGTCGCACTACTCGGTGTCTTCCGTTTAAGACTGTGAGGAAAAATATTAAACTAATTATTGTATTGCTGAAATACTGCAAAGTCATTTGTTTCAAACTGTTTGGTGTTTCTCTAAGCGCTATTAAAAACTACCATTCAATGACTAGAAAGGGATGTCTCCCCACATGGTATTTTAAGATGTGCAGCCAGAGTAAATATATTTCTTGTAAAAACAAGTGGCTGACATCCGCACACTAAATTATTACCTTTGCACGTTATTTTGAAACAGACTCAGACTCCGTATTTGCAGGAACATTCCACTGTGCCTGTTCCTTAAGCAACAGAGTTTAAAGAAAACATACTGTGGAGTGTGGGTAACACCATACAGTGTTCTCCTAAACAGCCAAACCACTAGACAATTTTCCTTGCCAGTATTTTTTGCTGCATTCACTTTTGTACTTCACAAGGTTTCTAGGTACCTTTAATCAACCTGCTGTTTCCTACACTCCCAAAAGCGACATATGAATTTTGGCAGCTATCACCTGAAGATAGGACTACACCCAATACCATCATTTTCATTAATAAGTTATTAATTTTAGAAATAAATAGGCATCTACTTTGTAGAAGTTCACTAACCTGTTGTCAGAATCAGAATGAGGTGAAGATACTGATCTATTTAAAATAAGCAGAGGTCTTTTGACAGAAGCATTTGATGTTTCTGGTAAAACTGATCTTGAAACAGCTTCCTTTCCACTCACAGCTGAGAATGTTCTGAAGTCTTTACTTGAAGAAACAGGTGTTTTTAAAAACATTTCATTATTGATCTATAAGATAACATTAGTTAAGAATGAAAAGAAACAGACATTAGTAGATTCTTTGGGATAGGTTTAAGCAGTTCTCCTAACTACCTGCCAACAGCTAAAATTCTGACTGACATTCCTTAGGTATATTACAAGGACCTCCTTGAACCTGGGCTCAGTATTTTGCAATAAAAAAGGCTAACTAGATTCCACATTGCAAACCCCAGTTTTCTTAAGTTGATGATCGCACAACCCTTCCCCCAAAGTCTACTGATGCATATGAAATATTTTCTTCATGTTGGCTTAAGACATACAACACATTAGAAAGGACCAAGTTCTGTATCACAATTACAGACTTCTGGCAGATTTCTCAGAGGACTCTGAATGCTGTACGCCAGCTGCACGCTCCCCTCTGTGCACAGATTTAATGCTGGCAGAAAGCAGCTTTCTGATCTTACAAGTCTTTCTCTAGAAACAGCTATTTTAAAGTACCATATAGAAGCTCAGGCAAGAGCTTTTGCCAAGCTGTATCTCTGTCTGAAGTCTGAACATCATATACAAAGTATGGGACAACCACCTCTGTTAGAGCAGCTCATAATTAATCCAGGTTGTCTAAAATGAACAATACTTTACTTTGATAAATTACTTTTGTACTTGGGTAAAAGCAATGGCAGAAAAATTAATACAATGAAGTATATAGGTTAAAACAGCACATCAAAATCTCTTCTCCAGAAATGGAGTGATCTTGGGTTAACACTTTACTTTAAAAACTACCTAAGCTGAATCGCACTTAGGAAGTTTGATTCTGAGTTACAATCTACACATTCTCACCACTCAAGCATATTGATCTGCATCTGCATTTAATTTGAATTTGAGGGCTTGCTTGAAAAAAGTACAGCTACTACAAGTCTATCTAGCCTCTTCACCTTCCCACTCCCCCAGTTTTAAGGACATCCTTGCTTTCATATTGTCATCACACATCTCTACAATAAATCCACTTTCAATAATTAGATAGCATACCATAAAAACAGGTATGAGCGACCAATGTCTTTTCTAGTACTATTTTGTGAGAGGGCTTTATCCCTTTCAAACTCTTAGGTACTACATTGAAAGCAATGGTGTATTTTCCATCATCAGACAGCAATGACAGGGGATTTCTGATTTACTAAGAGAGCATAACCTATACAGCCATCAAAACAAGATGCTGAACCAGTCATTTCACCACTACCTAAAGCAAACTCTAACTTAAAGCCTGGCCCGTTCAACCAAACTGCATAGAATCACTGCCAGCAAGAACAACTCTACTACCAAATTCAGTTTCCTCTCAGCTTCATGAGTTACCTGGTGGCTGTACTCTAGTCGCTTCTTCAGTTTTTCCCTGTCTCTACACAACAGCAAGGAGAAAAAAAAATTAAGAGCTCACATTAAAAATGTTAATTCATTATAAAACCAAACCGATCTCAAAATCTAAAAGAAAAAAACAATAGTCCTTATCTCAGCTAGATACAATAAAGTTCTAATGCACATATTCTGGTTTATTGAACGAATATTTTCTGAGTGAACTTAGAAGCTATTATAAACTAACTTTAGGCTAACTTCAAACATGCTCTCCCTCAGATTAAGATTTATTTTAAAAGATTGCAAAACCCCCCCAAACTCCCAATTCTAGAATGTTAGGCAGCATTAGTTAAAATTGCCCAAGCCAGTTTTTTTTCCATACGCCTTACCTAAGAATCCTCTCCTCCTTAAACGTACTGAGGTATTCAGCTGCTTGAACTTTGATCTTGAAAACAAGAATTACCTAGGCAAGGTTTCCTAACAGCTCTCGTAGCTCACTTCTCTGACATCCCAAACTATCCTCGAACCGCTTACTATTATAAAACAATGCCCCTCATTGAGACCTGTACTTGAAAGCCAATTGCTGCATTGCTCTTCTTAGTAGTTATTAAACGAGAGAGGCCCCATAATAGGAAAGTTATGACTTTCCTAATTTTGATTTAGGATGGCAAACAGGTATTAAGTCAGAGAGAGAAATCTGAATGTAATGCCAACATGTCAGTAACAGAGAAAAGAGCAGTGGTATTCATCTATTCACTGCTACAATCAAGTCTCAATTTCAGGGCACTATTTTCTGGCTGTATATATTCCCAGAAGAGTTGCAGTTATACCACAGGTGAGAGAAAAGGGCATTTAGTTTTCACATTCCTTTTCTAGTGTTGAGATACTTGTAAGAAAGTTCCTAGTACTTACTTTTTCTTGTAAGTTTTCTCATATGTAGGATGTATTAAGTCATCATCTTCTGGTTCTTCTGGCACATTACAATTCCTGAATTAAAGAGAAAAAAGGAGAAAAATCCAAACAAAAAAATGTGACAGAAAGAGCTTAACATCCATGCTTTTAACAGGTGATAAAAAAAAGAACTAAGAGCAGTATTTATATATTAAAGAAATCTAATTTTACCGGAATTGTGGGTCAGGGTTCAGTGAGCAGTACCACTTTTCTGGCAAGTGCTCTATTCCATCTGGCAGCTTCCGCCATTTCAGACATGAATCACATTGTACCCATGTCTGATCAGGCTGTTTTCTGTAATGGAAAAATATCAGAACTTTCACATGAAAAGTTCATTTTCATAACTGAGTGTAAAACAGTAGCAACATTATGCAAAATTATTCTGTTTAGAAGTGATACTTACTGTATCTCCTCAACTGGCAAAGCTAATGGATATTCTCCATTTTTCTTCGTTTTCATTTCATTCCAGTAATCATTGAGCTTTTCTCCTAATGCAGCTATCGTAAGTCTAAAAAGAAAAGTTTTTAAAAGACCACTTTAACAATAAAATCCTAGCAGAGAAACAACCTTTATAAGCTACAGGGAAAGAATAAGTGTATTAACTACTCTAATATTTCTATTTGCACAACGGTAAGCTTTTTGCTTTTAGAAAAATCCTAGAAATTGTGTGAAGTCACATTTGTCAGCAAAGAAATTACTGGAAATATGAGTTGGAGCACTCATGAGCTAGAAACTGAAATCAAGAGTGCTCAATTCAGAAGCACTGTGAATGTACAGTGCAAACCCTGAAGCTACCTCACCAGTTCAACCTCAATCATAGAAGAAACAAGTACAAAACCACCTCCGTCAATCTAGTACCCAGCTGTGTATTTGGCTGATGTTTCTATACACCCACTAACTGCAGGCTCATGACTACTCTAAGCTGACGTGCAACAATACTATATGGGGATTAAAAATGTACGATCACTTTAATGTAGTATGAAGTCTACATGCTGCTAAAAAGAGTGGGCCAGTCTTCCCCTATGTTAATTTTTAGCTGGATTAGTTTCCTGATCAGGGCTCATCATGCAGGTCAACGACTACTAGAACTGGCACACAGGAGGGAGTGGTGCAGAAGAACAACAAGTCCCACAGGTGAGGCAGAGGTAAGACTACCTCTTGTCAGCATGTTAAATTTACATCAGAGTAAAGTGGCTGGTTAATCGGAGCATGAAAGTCAGACCCTCCCTGCCTGGTTTATTCCAATACCTACACCACCCCATCCCCCTTGAACTAACACAAATGTTTGTGCAGTGAACTAGTCTGACCTAGACAGTTTCGATCGAGATCACCTCTGAACCCGTCATTCATTTCAGTGCCAAAAAAAGGAAGTAGCACAAGGGCAGAAACGAGCAGCAATGCATGGATAGGATCACGTCTCTCTTCTGGAGAGGGAAGAGGGGCACACCAGCTTACGCTGCTCATGAAATTACAGCATCAGTTTTATGGCTCTTTTTTGGGCTGGAAAGTTACCTATTGAAAACCTCTAGCACTCTTTGCAGAAAAACCCTTATAAAAGATCCTTCAAGTGCAGTATCTCTAGGACCACATTACAAGTGTTTTTAAAATGAATCAAGTAAAAAGCATTCAGTGCTCACTGTGCCAGCCTGTGGGAATATAGTGCAAACATTGGTCAACACAAATGAGTGTCCTACGGTGTTCCTAATTCCTCCCCTCTGCCAAGGGAACTGTTTGTCAGACCACAAAGGAAATGGTTCAGGGAACGTCTGTATTGAAACAACTAACACGAGCTATTTTACAGTTTGACCAATTCCCCGATCTGCTTTACCACATGTTCTTGTTAATGGCTCTCCTAGCACAATGGTGGTAGAAACAAGGGAACTGCTTAAAGCTGGCAGTATCACTACAAAGAGTAGCACAGACTGTGGGTGCCATTTGAAGATACAGGCAAACTGAACTGTAGTGGCTTATCGGCTATCAGGCTTGCTGCTCCTCCTCCAGAGGGCTGCTGTTTCAACAGCAGGAACAACCAGATTTATCTTGCTACAGCCTCTCAATTACTGCAATTAACAGCTCTGTTTATTACAGCATTCTGGTGTGGTTTCTGGGTTATCTCTATATGTAGAGTTGCATATAAATCAGCAGTTCAGGAAAGGCATCGAGGACAGTTCAGGTTGTCAGTGGCAGCTGAACCACAACTGGCTGCAGTGCAAAACATGCAGTTTGAAAAAGCTAATGACTCCTCCAGCCAGAGTTTACTCCACCTATGTTTGCAAGTCAATAGCCTAGGTGTCAGGGCACATAAAGGAGCAGGCACTTTCCTTCTAAGTGCATATGATCAAGGGAACTACAAACAAGAACCTACATAGACATAAACATACAGAGACTGACAAGGGAGGTAGTGGTAAGAACAAACCTGGTCAGTCACGCTAACTGGTAAGGATATATGGAGTTTATTTCTTCACTTGGGAGGATAAGGAAAGGGAAGGAGACAAACAGAGAGTCATAAAACCTGACCAATTAGCATTAACAGAGACAATAACTGGAAACAAACCTGATCAGTCACTAATTGACAGGCTATCAAGAAACCGAAGGCAAACTGGGATTTTGCAACTGATAAGGACACAAACCTCAGGGTCCAGGATGTTTGAAGATCAGTGGAACTATGCCAAGTGATGAGGTAATATGCATAGCGAAGGAGTAGCAGGGAGGAACAAAGATGGAGACAGAGGGAAAAGGGTATAAAAGGAGCTGGTTGCATGTAAAATGCAGCCAGTAGGTACACGTGGGCCAGTAGGTACAGTTGTCTGCCTGAAGCCCATGCCTGATCACCGCAGTCTGTCCTATTTTCTTGTATCTTCTTATTTCATATTTCATTAACTACCTCTCTGCATAACCTTGTTCTCTATCCCATGTGTACAGCAAGGACTAAAAGCCAGGTATTAGTGAGAGCTTTGGGTGTTTGAGTGGATTTGGTGTCAGCTCCTGGAGTCAGACCAGGGGTGTGGTGTAGCTACTGCAGCAACTAGGGGTCTCAGCAGCTACCCAATGAGGCAGGAATGGCATGTTCTCCAAAAACCAGCTCCTGGAGTAGACGAGCATGAATGAGGGGCTCAGCGTTGGCTGCAGGAGCAGGACTGTGGGTCATAGCCCGTGTGCCTGGTGTGGGCTGCTGGTGGCGGGGTCAAGTGTGAAACAACTTCATCAGCCCTGCTGGGTGTGGGGTGTGCACGTTTATTTGCTAGCAAATTCCAAGCTGGACTTGGCAATGAGCAGGAAGCCCTGGATAGGAACCCCTACTGTTCAGAACAGTCATGCAGTTTAATAATGGAACATAAGCTTTTATTCTTACTACTTAGAAGTCTTTATTGTCATGTATTTTGCAGTGAACAACACTATTCAAAGGAAAGTCTATGTGAAAATATACATTTACCTGTATTCATTTGTGTAGTCAAAATCTTGTTTGTTATGAGTTGGTTTTAGGAAGTTGCATTCAATAATCCCAACTACACCAACACCCATGTTGTTTGCCTGTAAGAAATTAAGATCTATCAGAAAAACCCCCAATATATTCTACGCTAAGACTGCAAGAGTTCGTCAGAGGTAATTATAACCTGTATATACCAGGTAAAAGAGTTTGCTAGCTTACAACTCCTCTCCAAAAAGCTCTTAACATAAACTCCCTAAATTAAAAAAACCATCCTCTGTCCACTCCTCTTTGTCCTGAAAGATATGCTCAGGCCTGTAATTTTGTGTATCGAGCTCAGTTTCAGAAACAAACATTAGAATAACTTCATACAACTTAATACAATTTTAACTGCTACACAAACTAAAAAGGTGGTTTTAGAAAAGATACCTCAATATCCTAGTTTCCACCCATACTCTTTTTTAAAATCAGCATTTGAGTGAAAATGATTTCTAGAGATGTTAAAATATTTTTGAGCCTTAATTTCTTACCTTTAACTGACAGCCTACTCTTTCATAAGCTTTGATGAGTCTGTTTTTATGGTACATCATTATTCCATAATGATCTTTGTTTCTGCAGTTAAATCCAAATGTAATTCTTACTGTTTTAGCCTTTTATTAGATTATTAAGGAAAAAATCTGGTTAATCTTACATAACACAAAATTATAGTTACTGAGTGCTCATTCTAAACTGGGTCCTGGAATTTTTTTTTATATTGAGGTAATTCCTTCAGTATGTCTTTACCAAAAACTACTAAAAATTAAAATCACAAGTATAACTGCAACATACCCAGCAGAATCCAGACAGCTTACACAAAATGTCACATCATTAAATTCAGTTTGCAGAGATGTAAATATTAGCAAAGGATACATTCAAAAACTTGGGCCTATATATATCGCGTTCAATGAAGGCGAGGCTTTTGGAAACCAGCTGTGTTTTCACTTTTTGTCCTCGCAAAATGATCTGCATTGTTGGTTTCAGATACAAAATACTGCAATAAGCCTACAAAACACACAGTAAGTCCTATTATTAAAAAAACCAACGAAACAGAAAACCAAAAAAACCTGAAACACAAACAGAAAAACTGAATATGTGAACATTTTACAATCTCTGTTTAGGAAGACAAACTCAAGTTTTAATTACTATTTTATGAAATGTATTTTTTTCCAACTTGAATCCACAAAAAAACCCCAGTAAATGCAAGTGTGCATAATAAGCCTACATATATCACAAATTAAATGAATAGCAAGTGAAGGACAACTTTTATGAGTATGACAACTTAATCAGGTGTCTGAAGATGCAGTTTTACCACTAAAAGAGCTCTCAAACACACACCTCTCTTTTCTTAACCCCTATTGAGAGCTTAAAAATTCTACTGCAAACTTTAAAATAACAAACAAAAGCTACTGTGTTAACTTGGTCCAAAAGAATGCATATTATAATAGCTTGATAATAGCTACGCAATTTTCTCATAAACATGTCAATTATGAATTATAATTTGAATTTCATTTCCCATTCTATTTACAACTTCTAATAATTGAAGCAGATTTATCAGTTCAGAAAGTCTTAGAATGATTAAAGGTTTTAGTTCAACTGGAATAATACTCCTGAATATCCTCCACAAGGAGGGCCCAGAACACCTAGTAATTTCAGATATACCTCCTTACAAAAAGAAGCCTTCAAAGCTTACGAGTTAGTAGTGAAGACAATGGTCACATCAATCAGCCTGCAGAGAGGGACACGGCTTTTCTATGTGCACGTACTCAAACAATGGAGCGGCTTCCCAATTCCTTTACCTCTTTTTGAAACCTAGAAGTGACACTTCGCCAACCAAACCCTATCTGTTTTAAAAGATCCAGATGGACATTATGTCTGTACTATATGCACATATATCTGCACTACAGAGCATTTACTTTGCTGACAACTACACGCACCCCCATTTAATTCCTGAAGCTACCAATTGCATTTCCTTCTTGCTCCTCAGCAGACAGTGACAACTACATTTAACAGCAAAAGTTATTTTCAAGACTATATAAAACCCAGTAATTTTCTTCTCAATAAACAGAAAATGCTTACACAAGTCCACAAATACCTTCAATTTTCAAAATATTGATTGACATATTGCCCTAACATTTAAATTTTGACATTCATCCTCCCACCCCTAAATCAACATTTCTGTAGTACAATACATTATATTAAAAGAAAAAACATACTCCCTCCAGGTTCCAAAAATTAACAAACAAGTAAATTTTAAAAAAGGTTATACATACTCGTAGTGAGTAGTCACTTTCTGGAACAATCTGGTCCATTCTCTCTTGTTTTTTATATCCTCTTTTGCCTGTTTCATCTAAGTCTTCTGGAATTCTGATGTCGTATTTATCCTTGTCAAAGTCAAACTCTGTTTTGTCATTTTTATCTCTAAGAAATAAGATTGAAAAAATATAGTAATTACAAAAAAAAAAAAGTGCCAAAGATAGATATTGTGGTGGACCCAGAGGATATAATGAATATTCAAGAGAAAGGGAATTCCTTTGAGCCATGGTGGTTTTCCTCACAGACTTGCTAAAAATCAACATAAACAAAATTTACCAGTTCCTTTCGGATATCCAAGGAATACAACAGAAGTGATGTCAAGTGAGACATTCATACATTCTAACTTAATTCTAAACAGGTCACACATCACAAATAAAAGCAGTCAGTACACCTTTAAATTCACACATTTAAGACACACCATTTCTTCTAAATGCAAAGCTCCTGAACACTGCAAGTTGCCTTCCTAAGATTTTTACTGCTGCAAAAGTGACACTCACCACAACTTTCTAACTCAATAATTATCACAATTTCTTATTGTACTGCTCACCAGAAGGCTTCCTTTATTTCGTTGCAGATGTATACAGTGCAGTATACCAGCAGCGCCTTTGCACAACGTTGAGATGTATCATAGTTGGCACAGATATTCCAGAAATAAAGTCTTTTAATACAAAAACAGCCGTGTTGTTTTTGTTTAAAAGTAGATTCAATTTGTAAAAGGGAAAAGACTCTAAGAAAAATGCTTATAGGTAAAATGATATTGATTAATAGAAGTATTATGGTTAAGATGAAAAACTAGAAACAGGTGCTATGAAATAACAGAATTATAATAATTCTTACAAACCATGCAACCATGCTGCTTCTCACTTTGTCCCTTGTATAGCCCTCTCCATGGCTGGTTTAAACCCAATCCAGCTGAATCAACAAGAATAACAGAATTTAGAGACACAGCAATTACAGAGAATAAGTGATTAACTTGGAGTAAGCGAATTGTGAGAGATTACATATTTGAAAATAGACAGAAGTTAAATGTCATGATGTCAGTTTTTATTAGAAGTGCAGAGGTGAGCAGACAGGACGATTATTCAAGAAGATAAGTGAATACAGTGACCAGAATGGGACCAGCGGCTGCAACTTCTGAGGAGGCACTGAGAAGATGAGAAGAATCAGCTGCGTTTGAAGAATCACTGTGGACTTTTATAGAATTTTAAATTAATGAGAAATTTGGAACTGAGGGTTTGTGAGAAAACACCGAGAACTTTGAGAAGAAAACCTACTGTATAATGTTAAGTTTAGCATATATAGAGAGCTTGATTTTTGCAATGCCTTTGCCACTCACTGAGGTGATGGCCCAAATCTGTGTTGTAAATAAAGCAAACCCAGAGTTACCCACCGAGTTAAACTCCTTTAACAGAAATTACAACATATTAGAAACAAAATTAACGTCCTCAAGAGTGTTTCTTCCCATAACTTCCTATGAATCAGAATGTGGAATCATTCAGGTTGGAAAAAACCTTTAGATCATAAGAGTCCAACTGTAAACCCGACATTGCCAAGTCCACCACTAAACCATGTCCCTAATTGCTACATCTACAGTCTTTTAGATACCTTCAGGGATGGTGACTCAATTACTTCCCTGGGCAGCCTGTTCCAGTGCTTGACAACCCCCTCAGTGAAGAAGTTTTTCTTAATATCCAATATAAACCTCCCCTGGTGAATTAAAGTTCCCAGACTTTACTGTATTTTCTTTTGCTCAAGCAACGAAGTGATGCACATTCCTAAAAATGTCCATACCACAAAATAAATTAAAGTCTACCTGGGCAATGTAAATTAGTTTCTGAAGCACAAAGGAGGTGAAGTTTTTCCTTAGGGAATAGGTGCAAGGGGAAACAACCAGAATTAGTAATACCAGAACATTTGGTATCTTCAGCTTTCTTGTATTAAAATCTACTAAGCTAAAAATGATTCAGGGCTCTAGTAGTCACAAGAGCTTAATGAAAACAAAACAAAAAAACCCAAAAAAACTCAAACCCCAAACAAAAATCTCCAGACTTTTCATCTGCTATAATCAACTGAGATCTTTTTTGTCCTGTAATATTTAATCTATATTCATTGAGGTGTGGTTTCCTGCACCCCTCTCCCCTCCACCCTTCTTCTGATGGGCAAGAATAAAGGTAAAAAACCTGAAAACCAAGCCAATTTCTTGCCAAATTTACAGGACTGAAATAGTTCAAAATTGCTTCCTACAGATACCTGGATATTTCAGTAATTTAAAATTACAGCAAGCTGAACATTTAAAAACATAACACAAAACAACATCTTCCCAACCAGTTAGTACCACCACTGTTAAAGGCATGCTAAAGCTCTTCTAGACAGACCATCAGACAGGTTCCCTGCTAATAAGGCAGCAGCAACCATGCAAGCTGTGAAGGAAAGGGAAAGAAGATGGGAAGTTATGACACCATCTGCCACTGCTACAGCAACAGCTGAGTTTTTGTTTGTTTGGTTGGGTTTTTTGTTTGGTTTTTTGAACAACAAAAAAAACAACCCCAAAAAAACCCAAGCAACTCCAAGCTAGGAAAGGCTGGAAATCTATAGTGCTGTGAACAATCCCACAGAGGCAAGCAGATAAATAAATACAGTTGTATTACTTGGATTAGTATTTATCTTATGATAAACAGGTAAGAAGTTCAGAAAGGTCAAGCTCTCTCTAGAAGGATACCAATGACGCCCAACTTAAAAAGCCAGCAATACTTGCCTGTACATACAAATATTTTTGCATTCATAGTTTCATAGAGGTCTGAAGTAACAGATTTATAGTTTCTCTCTGTATTTCAATCTTCCTTCTGGCAAAAGCAACAGTACCTTATCAAAGGAAAAGACGAAGTCCTTTACATTCTCCTTCCTTCTGCTTTGTTACTTCAGAAACTAGCAACAGTTTTCATGCAACATTACAGCCCTTCAATCACGTGAGTTTGGGTCGAGTTTCTCAGTTACCACTGACTCTCCTGTCTTTTGTGATTGTTCTACAAAAAAGCCTTGTATGTTTGCGTACACTGAAAGAAACACAAACTAAATGAGAGACCAGGCTTCATCTTTCTTACCTTCGGAGATTCCAAATGATAATTCTTGTTCCTTTTTTCCCTATTATAGCATCTAGCTCTGCCAGTAATTTCTCCTCATTAGAAAATAAAGAATGCGTTAAGATGGCCTTCAGGCTGTTTTTGGATTCTGCTGGATCACTTATCTGTCGTGAGCATTATGTTAAGGACAGCAACTTTGAACAAAGTAAGCTTTCAAAAGATGAGCAAGTTTCTGTAACAGTATCTTGTACTCACTTCTCAGGTTTTTATTCTGCATCTCAGAGCTCCTACAAATTTAGAGGCTTTAACAAATTATAGCCTTCCTTGCATCTTACAATTTATGTCGGGTATCCCTAAGACTAGACAAGGAGATTTGCTTTACTGATGTTATAATCCCAAGTTTGCATGCACACACAACTTTTCATTCAAAAACTGTTGAAAGGATATGTTGGTTGTTGAACGTCACTATAGGAACCATGACATGTTCCGCTTTTGTGACTTCAAGGAAAGTCTGAGATAACAGGCCCACACTCATGGTTTCTCCGTTCTTGGTGAAGACTATTGCATCTTTTCCTAGGCGCATGGACCCTGATTTAAACCCATTTCCATACAGTCCCACTGGAACACGGCCATTCATCACAGATTTCTCACTGAAGCCAAAGCTGAAACATATGAAAACATCAGAAGAGTGTAAAAAGCCCTATAAAACTTGAAAACCCCGAAGATGCATGCAAGACAGAGCAAATTAGACTTAAACACAATGAGTTAACCTCTTGTTTTAGAGATCAGTGACTACTGTACAGTTAAACAATGTACACTTACACAAATCCTTAAGCTACCTGTATAACGTTGCTAAAACCACAGTGCAAGAATTCAGGGAAATTTACTTTCATCTTTAAGTATGGAAAATAAATATCTGTCTGGAATGACACAGTAAGCATTCTTATGGGATTCTAATAGCTAACCTGTGGCTTCACAATAAATATTAAGAAAAGCCCAGAGGTTTCCCCCTCACCCCCCACTTGCTTGAAAATGTGCAAACTACAGATTTTCTATTAGTTACTACATTATTACATTTAAAGTAAAACAGGTAACCATATATAGAACACTGAATTTAGCAAACAAGCTATTAATTATGGTATCTGACAGAAAAAGAAAAATAACAGTTTGAATTCAAGCTTGCTCAGGTTTAAACCCAGAGATTTATCTGCAGGCAGAGGAATCTTTCATACTAAAAGAGCAACTGAACAGCAACCTCTTTGCTAATTGTAGAAACAAAAGTTGCAAAAAGATCAGCTCAGACCCTTTAGAATATTTAAAAGTAAAAAGACAGTCCACATCAATATACTTATCATGCCCTTAAGTTTTCCACAATACCTTTGTATTTCTAATACTCCAAAGGATTTGGCCTGAATATCCTTTTGTCTCTTCCTTGCTAACTTAACCTAAAGCAATGCCGAATAAAAAAAATTAAATTAAATTCTCCTTAGCTCCACTAAAGGCCACTACAGAGAGTTTACACAGCACAACCACTGCATGGAAAGTTAAATGAGAAGGTGACAGAAAGGATAAAAGGAAATTATGAGGTAACAGATACTGACAAAGGTGTGTGAAAGTTCTACTAGCATCTGTGTATTCTAGAGTCTCACCTGGATAATCACCCACCTTCAGAAGCGCTAAATTTATGAACAAAATTAGTAGATTACATAGGAGAAAAAGGAATAAACTGAGCAATAACATAACTAGAAGCTGGAATCTTTAAAAGAAAAAAAATGCAAAAGAGGTTATCCACCTTAGCATTTTGTGCAGCTTCTCCGAGTTCATACCATTCCCATTATCAGTGAATGTCAAGCATATATTGTCATTTATCACCGTTTTGTCTATCCATATCTGTTTAGCATTCACATCTGGGTCATAAGCATTATCTGAAGAGAAAGAAAGCAAACAAGGGTGGGATACCAAACAGCAAAAATTTAAAAATGTTCACATTTAAACTGTTTAAAGCGTTCAATTTCAGGGAACACGTCAGATACTAACCCTTCCAAAGTTACTTAAATCCACATGTAGCATGCAACAGTCTTATCTAGTAAAACACACATATAATCATCATTACCAAAGAGCTACATGGAAGAGCTGTCCCTAACTTTATTATGCTGCTACGCTTGCACCTATGTTTATTTGGTGAATATGGCAGCTTAATGCAGTTGCCTAATCGTGGGTCGATGACCCTGCAGAGTCACATGCTAAACTAATGGAGCTCTAAAACTGCAGCCGTTTTTCAGCTCCGTGGTTATGTATGTAATACAGTTGCAGAATTTTGTGCTGGCACAGATATAAGTTTCTCAGCTAGATCATTGAATATTAGTCAACTTTTGCACAGAAGCACGAAGCCATAGTTTTTAATAAAATAAATGTTAGATGTTAAAACCTGTCTCCTAAAACACTGTTTTCTTTATAGATGACAACACTAAATTAAAATATTACAATGAAACAGCTGCATCAAAACCTGGCAAACCTTGCCTGGAAACAACACACAATTTTCCAGCTATTACAGATGACACTACTACATAGGCAAAAACTTAGGTGGAGAGAAGTGCCACAAATGTGAGAACAGAAAACGAAACCAAGTTTCTACTCATTTCCTGTCTCCCAAGCAGCTGTTGCAACATTTACTTTCTCCCAGGCACACAGAGGTCTCTTTGGACTGGCTCCCAGGTGGCTAGCTTACTGTCTGCAATGCGGACACCACTAACATACATAGCTGCAACAACATTCTACCTGCTGCAGGCCTGTGGGCTTTTTAATTGGGAAATCAGATCTGAAATACCATCACAACTTCAAATAACCAAATTTGAGACACTAAAAAAAAGCAAGCAAAAAAAAAAAAAAAGCTTAAACTCCCTGTATCCCAGGTAGTTCTGTGAAATCTAGAATGTTGACTCCACAGGTGCAGGAGATTTAGGTGAAAAAATTTTTGCTGCTCGGCTACCACATCACTTCCATATTAACAGAGCTGAGCATCACAAATTATGTCTATTGCCAGTGCAAGTTGTTCAAATCTAAGAAGGTATGACTTACAAAGAAGGTAAGTACAAAGTACTTTATACTCTGTATTTACAGGATGTGAAAGAGCTGCAGCATTGCTACCACAAGTGAAATGGAAATCATGGCTCCACAAACATTTTCTGGCAGCAAAGCTAGTCTAAATCTCATCTGCCCTAGCACGACTTTTGCACATCTCTTTTCTCCAGCACTGTGCTACTCATGGAATTTGTGAAGGGGGAAAGCATGGGGAGGAGGAGGGGTGGGATGTGATGGCACAGCAGGAGGCAGTGCCCCTGCCTCACTGCCTGTTCTGCAGGTTCAGCTGAGGGCCATAAATAAACAGCTCAAGCCAGCACTGTGGCCTATAAAAAGAAATCACAGTTTGGTAGCTTGCTTTCTATAAGCACAAAGTACAAATTGCATCCACAGTGAAAAAGTTCATAAAATATATTTTAGCATCGACAAAAGAGGACATTTCAAGTACAACTGAAAGTTTGAAAGTATTCTTCTACGACCATACTCTGTGTAAGTTATCTGATTTTTCTAGCTCATCAGCTTTCTCCAGATGTCCCACTTACCCTGTCCAAGTATCACCATTAGTTCACCTAAATTTAACCTGACTGAGGACTAATGGGAGAAGCCAGCAATATAACCAGCAGAAAGCTGACAGGAGGGACTAGAGCTTAAAAGGCAAATTTTAGCATACAGACCATCAATGTTTTAAGTAAGTTTGCATAAACTAAAATTCAGGGCTCCATAATTTAACTCTATTTCTATCATTTGATATTTGGCATATGGTACAGCCTTACACAGCATGAGAAAGACAGACTACAAAACTTATTTAAATCAACACGACTAACTAGAAGCCTTTACAACCAGAATGTTGCTACTATGCTTTTGAAGCTTTGTTAAAGCAACACATATGACAAACCAAAGACAACAGAAGAGGACACATTTGCATGCCTTGCACAGCACATCTACCATCATTCCAGCCAGGTACAGCATGGAGTGATCAAACAGCTGAAATGACTTAACAGATTGTTAACCCCAAAACAGTCAGCCCTTCCCACAGCCATGTGGGACAGGTTTCCTCCTTTATGACAGGTCCAGCCTTAAACAGCTCAAAATTTCCTACTTTCTTTAGTTAGGTTAATTTTCTGGATTAGCAACAGCATGCACATGAAGCAAAGGAATGTGTGACCAGAAGAGTTGCTCCCTTTGGCAGCAGCAAACTGCTAGATAAGCTTGGCAAGTCTTGTCCAAACTACACCTTTACTTTGAAGAACCAGTTAAAGTCTGCTAATCATTCCCTAACTCAGAAAACAAGCAACTCTGAAGATATCCAGTTAACAGCTATTAAAAAAATCAAAGGCAAGACAATCAGCAGGAGCTAATAAATTAAACAGATACACAAGCCCTAGCTAACAGCAGAGGACAGACAATAAAAAAGAGCAGAACTCTTAGGACACTGGTAGATGGACCATTTAAAGGAACCACTCAAGTATAACCCTGAAGGAGTTCAGCCAGAAACTTTGTAATCCAAAAGAAGAAAATCAGGAAGTTTGAGAGGTATTGTGACAACGTGCAAAAATGACTACTGAATGTTTTGAGGAAGCATCAAAGAAAAGGGAAAGGTCAAAGTGGTCAGGAGAAGAATGATGGGGGGGGGCAGGGAATACCAGGCTGATTGTGTGCAAGCTGGGTGCTGGTCAGTATGCTCATATGGTTGGACCTCACGCCACTCTGTTCTGTATCCTTACTAAACACTGTTTCTAATGATCTCCTGCACGAGTGTGCTCTCTATTCTCATTGTGTGCCTGTACACATTTGTTCTGCTAGCAAACTTCCAGTTGGACAAGCCAGCAACCGTTCAGATCCAAAGTCTGCGCCAGAGAGTGGTAAGAAGTCCAGGACACAGGTCCTGAAAAGAATCCCAGGTCTTGGCATAACACCCAGCAACATGAGTAAGCACGAGTGATGAGTGAGAATACGCACATGCACCACTGCTGAACTTTGAACCCGGTTAACCAGGAAGCAGGAACAGGATTAGGCCATTTGTGCTGTTCAGGTTTTGAGCACTGCTTGTGTTTATGTGTGTTCTTGCAAAGTTACTGTCCTTCTGTCTGTGCTAATCTGTCCGTGGCCAGCTGTGTCTGTACAGGATGCAAGTGTGCACCCACATCTTTGGAACATGCACTCAGCCCACTCTGGGCCTGGGAACAGCAAAAAAGAGTAGGCTTGCATTTGGTGGACTAAAGAAGCAATTCTGTTGGTCCTACAGTCTTCTACATTTGTCCATCCTTAATAAACTCAGTAAAAAGAAAACGGCAAATCCTACAAGTCCCCTGCAGCTGATGCCAGGTAGTACGTATGTTAAGAAAGAAAAAAATTCAATTTGACTGTACCAAAAAAAAGATGCTGTAAGATTCTAAATGGTAACAACAGGATCAACTCCTTCCCCTGCCTGAAGGAAAAAAGTTTTACAACAAGAAAAAAGTATTACAATCAAGTACTCAGGCAAACTATTGATCCACATACCTATAAGTTCTGCAATTGCGCTGAAAGGCCAAGTGTGACTGGTAGAGTTGGTATGCAAGAACTTTGGACAAAGCTGAAACAAACCACAAAATGGCATTAGTTTGCACTTTTCAATGATACCAATTCAGAAAATAGTATGTTAAACACAGTAACATTAAATGAAGCTGTTTTGTACACCACTACCAAAAGGCTGTAATTGAATTTACTTTTAGATGTTGGCATACTAACACCTTTTAAAGTGAACGTTAATACAGCTATTAAAGACGAAAGAGCAATACAGAATTCAGCACACTATCATACTATATTCTGAGTATGGGTTATATTGTCATCCTATCAAACTCTCTTTATCTTTATAAAAATGTAAGGAACTATTGCTATATATTGATTATAGAGGTTACAGAAAACATCAAAGCCTTAGTCCAAACAGAAGCATATGTTCTCAAATGTTAAAAATGTGCATCTTAAACCACGAGTATTAAACTTAATCAAAAAAGTGAGCAGCACCTAATACACTCAGTGGCTTACTGTCTGATGTCACTGCTCCTTTTGCCCATCACAATCACCTGTCAGGTTCTCTCAACTAGTAGTTTGTGCTTTCAGCAGTTTGATCTCATACATTTTATCCTCACTTATGGTAAGATGTAACCAGAGGAACATAGCCACTGCTAGGATTTAGGTGAGAATATGCAAATAAAGTACCTAGTTATGGAACATATCTTCTCCACATGTCAGTGACAAAAGTATTCTCAAGTCATTTATGAAACCTTGGGTTCACGTATAGTCACCTAGATCAAAAAACTAGGAAAACCAGAACTAAATATCCATCTAACTTCAGGATTTCTCAATGCAAAGTCTGTAGAAATTTAACTGCTGAAATTGATACAGTTGCATTTGCATTACCATTGAGAATATCTGCAATTATACTTTTACAAGGCCATTAACACAAAACCCATTGCAAAACCCATACATGTTTAAGCCTCACTGGCATAGTTAAGCTGATGGCATAAAAAGCAGCATCTACAAATATGTAACACTGGAAATAGTCCTTGGACAGTACAGTTATATCAAAAACCATAATACAATCCACATTATAATACATATAAAATCAGAAAAATATTTAAGAATAGTGTGCACATACCTACACTTCATAAATTTTACAGAACTGCTACACTGACAAGCCCTTTTATATAGTTAGTAAAGTCTAAATAAAAGCAAGCAACCACTTCAAGCCTCCAAGTTTACCAGCAAAAAGGAATAATAATACAAGCAAGTTCTAGAGCTGTGAGCCAGGCACCAAAGCAGGACTAGGGCAGCAGCAGCCCTACTTAAAATCAACATAAATTACCAGGAAACCTCATCTTGATTCCAAGATCATAAGAGCACAGGACACACTTCCAGACTGCAACTTAAGCCTTGCCTTTCTCCATCAAGCTTGAGTACAAGCATGAATAGACATCACTTTCTTCATCACCATCTGTGCTTTAAAACTCCAGTTTTATAAAATCTGGTAAATTGTGTCAGGCTAAGTGACTGTGCCCCTTTCAAATTCCTAACAGATATTTACAAATAATTCAGAATCCAAAAGGAAAATGACATCATGTGTATTAATGGAAACCTCACATATTCCATGGCACATGGTTAAGAGGATTTTTCAATTTCTTCCTCTGCCATACAGTAACTCTGGATCTTAAGATTTCTGTACCATTCTCCTCACTTCAACGTTTCACATTGTTGGCTGCATCTGTTCCTTTGCTTTCTAAGCTTCATGATTAAAATACACTAGAAAAAAAAAATGTTGGTTTTTTTTTTCCCCACCTGTAATCCCTCCTTGTCAAAACATAAATATTAACATTAAAAAAAAAAAACCAAACCACCACCACACAGATGCACATTCAAGCATTCAGCATCTGCTCAACTGACTGCTAAAATATTTCCCTGCTGCTAACCAGTAAAAAACTCCAATCATACAACCCAGATAGACTGGGACCTCTGGAGTTACCACTGGCATTGTAACCTCAGCAATATGGATTTGGCAAAAAGCTCTGACTGTAGTTTTGATAAAGGCATGAATTCACAGTTGTGAGCCTCCCCTGGTCAGCAGACAACGCTGATGAAGGAAAGAACCTCAGCGTCACCAACACCGACATAGTCACAGACAAGTATCCCTTTCTCTATGAAGCAAAGCTTACATGTGAATGACAAGAAAACCTCTTCACGTGTTGCCTGTGTAATACAATATTCCTTCATCCCTTGTTTCATACTAGTGATTAACTTTGAAAAAAAGACTGCCTTTAAAGAAACAGCATCTTCTATAAACACAAGAATTGCACTGATCTTCTCTGGATTGCTGTTTCAAGTGGTAAGGTTTTAAGAAAGGCTGGAAGGTGGCACACAGCACTGAGAACTTGTGAACCGTTTATACGAAGTGAGAAGATATGGGTTGAATATGGGAATTGTAAAAAACTGATTCTTGGCTCTAGTGTCTCCCCTAGCAAAGGTGAGCAAGTAACCCACAGGGTAGTTCACAGGAAAGTCTGCCTCAGAGCAGATACCACCATTTGCCCATGTAAGGCATTGAAACAAGGGCACACAACGAAACCAGATTAAAAAAATGGAGAACAGTGGTTTAAGGTTGTTACCTTCGTAGTTTGCTTCCGAGCTTACCCAGCTGTCAGCGACAACTTGTTTCCTGATGAGTTCATCAGGAAATATTTAAGCCCATTTTGTCCCTTAACACTTCAATTAATCAAACCAGCACTTTCATTCTCCCATGAATAATTGAAGTTCAATAAGTACAGTAGTAAAGAGTTAGTTCCCTGGTGAACATTCACTTTCGTCTCTCTTAGCAGGATGGCGGCTGAGACAATTCAGCTGCTTCATTCACTGGGCCTACCACGTTTTGTTACTGAGTGGGTTTTGATTAGTTTCACTTTCTCTCCTGAGACCAAGCGCAGCCAAAACCTTTTTGGAGATACAACTAAACCTGTTCCTCCTTCAAACTCCATATACACTGCATATTATAAAAAGACTCAGCTGCACTAAGAGGAGCATCTCCTACAAGTACAACCAGGAAGTATTTAAGACTAAAGCAGCTTGTCCAGTTTTGGGAATTTTAATTTTCCAAGAAAACTGGAGCTCTTCCATCCCTTGCACAGCATAAGGTGTGCACAAATCAAGTTACCACTGAACAATCTGTCTTGTCTTATAAAAGTATTTTACAACTTTATGGGGAACAACCCTATTGCCATTTTCCCCCTTTTGCTTTTACCCCACCTGGCTACTTTTTTCTTTCCTGAAATGTTCTTCATTCCTCCTCCCTCCCAGTTATGCTAGTCCACTTGTGTGACTCTAGTGAACCACATCACAGTGCTGATCCAAAATAAAAATAATATTTAAATCTTATTTTTAATCTGGATCACTTCCCTGATCTGTCTCGTCACGCAACTGAGCAAAAAAATTACCAGTGCAAGAGAAGGAAATAAATGCCAGTGTGGGAATGAGTTACCAAGCCTGCTCACACCGCCCGTGTTGTTCACATATGCTTCTGAAACTAATGGAAATATTTTGGTGAAACTTGACATATTTCCAAAGAACAGCTGCTGGCAGAAGACACTGTAATCAGCTCCCTATTGTTCTCCAGAAAACAGAGCCTTTTACACTGTAGTAGACAACCTGTTAAAAAACTGTATCAGCTGCTTAGATTCTTTAGTGAAAAACCTACAAAAAAATCACAACTTTCACTGAAAATAGACTTAATGTAAGCTTTCTGTTATGACTACTGACAAAACCAAACAGCATCCTAAAAATAATTCAGAAAGTTGTGAATTGCACCAAGTTTAGCTTTCAGTTCTCATCTGTATCTGTAAGAGTTCAGCTTGGTAAAGTGATTTCAACTCGAGAACAATTTTAAACTCTGCAGTCTGTCTTGTGATATGTAGGTGTTTTGCAATGGCTGATTATTAATGCTGATGTACTTTTCCCCTTAAGAAGACTAACAATGTATTAGAAACAAAGGGAAATGTCCCTCCTTTTTTAAAAAAACCCCATGGGATTATCTAAAGAAGAGGAAGAACACTTCTCTAATAAAATACATGAGGCAAGTTGGGGATTTTAAACACTTAAAAGAATTAACGACTTGAAATGAAAGTGCAGTTCTTGAAGTTCAAGTAGGTGACATTTATTGCTAACGGCTACAATAATGGAAATTTATATTAAGGTAATTTAAGCAGTGCTGAAAACATACTGACATACCTTTTCCACACAAGTGTTTGACACCCCTATGTCCCCCCCGGCCCTGCTACCAAAACCTTGCCACGCAAACCCAATACAGTTACTTACTGTAATGATCCAGTTTCCTTGCACTGTTCTATAAATAAGGTTATGAATCGGGTGTTAGTAACTATACATCTGACATACAGGCATAGAGAGCTGAAGTCAGAAAGGCTTTAAAAAAATATGCTGTTTCATCAACGATGTATCAAGCAACTGATAAAGCAGCTTTACCTGAATTTGTATTAGCACAAGTAAAAGTGCCCGCCTGCCACAAAAGGACACCAAGGAGCACCGCTGTGACTGAAAAGCACAATACAGCCGCGGATTTAACTGCACGCACATTCGTCACCCTTGTTAAAATGCAATTAGGCCTCTTGCAAACAGTAGTTAAGTTACACGCTTCCCATTAGAGGTCACTACGTTCACAACTAACTACATCGCTCCCACAGACTGGGAAACCCCCGTCCCCAGTAACCAACCCCCCGCAGGCCGCCGCTTCCCCTCCCGCGCAGCCCGAGCTGACCCAGTGACTGGTGTCCGGA